AGGTAGGCGTAAAGAACGAAAGAAAGAAGGAAAGAAAGAAAGAAAGAAAGAATATTTAATTTAAATATAAAGAAAGGAAAATAAACAAAGGGAGGAGAGAAAAAAGATTATTCAGTTTAGATATAAGGAACTGGAAAGAAAGAAAAAAAGAAAGAAAGAAAGAAAGAAAGAAAGAAAGAAAGGAAGAAAGAAAGAAAGAAAGAAAGAAAGAAAGAAAGAAAGAAAGAAAGGTAGGCGTAAAGAAAGAAAAGGAAGAAATAAATAAAAATAAAAGAAAGAAAGAAAGAAAGAAAGAAAGAAAGAAAGAAAGAAAAAAAGAAAGAAAGGTAGGCGTAAAGAAAGAAAGGAAGAAATAAATAAATAAGAAAGAAAGAAAGAAAGAAAGAAAGAAAGAAAGAAAGAAAAAAGAAAGAAAGGTAGGCGTAAAGAAAGAAAGGAAGAAATAAATAAATAAGAAAGAAAGAAAGAAGATAGGCGTAAAGAAAAAAATGGATGTAGGCGTAAATAAAGAAATAAAACGTAGAAAATAAACGAAGGTAGGCGTAAAGAAAGAAAGAAAGAATGAAAGTTAGAAAGAAAGAAAGAAAGAAAGAAAGAAAGAAAGAATATTTAATTTAAATATAAAGAAAGGAAAATAAACAAAGGGAGGAGAGAAAAAAGATTATTCAGTTTAGATATAAGGAACTGGAAAGAAAGAAAGAAAGAAAGAAAGAAAGGTAGTCGTAAAGAAAGAAAGGAAGAAATAAATAAATAAATAAGAAAGAAAGAAAGAAAGAAAGGTAGGCGTAAAGAAAGAAAGGAAGAAATAAATAAATAAGAAAGAAAGAAAGAAAGAAAGAGAAAGAAAGAAAGGTAGGCGTAAAGAAAGAAAGGAAGAAATAAATAAATAAGAAAGAAAGAAAGAAGATAGGCGTAAAGAAAAAAAATGGATGTAGGCGTAAATAAAGAAATAAAACGTAGAAAATAAAGAAGGTAGGCGTAAAGAAAGAAAGAAAAAAGAAAGAAAGAAAGAAAGAAAGAAAGAAAGAAAATGGATGAAGGCGTAAATAAAGAAATAAAACGTAGAAAATAAACGAAGGTAGGCGTAAAGAAAGAAAGAAAAAAGAAAGAAAGTTAGAAAGAAAGAAAGAAAGAAAGAAAAAAGAAAGAAAGAAAGAAGAAAGAAAAAAGAAAGAAAGTTAGAAAGAAAGAAAGAAAGAAAGAAAGAAATATTATTCAATTTAGATATAAGCAACAAAGAAGAAGGAATAAAACAGAACAAACAAGGAACGAAAAAAAGAAAAACAGATTATTTAATTTTGATGTAAGGAACAAGAAAGAAAGAAATAAAGCTTATTCAATTTCAGATAGCGGCTTGGATTGAGAAATCGGAGAGCCGAGTTCGAATTCCAATCGAATCCATTATATTCACTTACGATCTAATACCCTTGGGAAAGGTGTGAATTCTCTTCTTCTCCCATCAGCTATGGGTAAATAGCAGAACAGGCCGGGTTTTATAGCCTTTGATGTCAACTTGTCTATCGCAGAAGGAAATGGCAACCTACTGCGGGAAAAATATGCCTCGTCAGTCATGTATCGAAAGATACATAATCGCCTAAACATGTATTATGCATGGTACGGTGGAGTAATTGATAGCGGCTCGGGTTTAGGAATCGGAGAGCCGAGTTCGAATTCCCGTCGAATCCATTACATTCACTTGCGTGCTAATACCCTGCATTTACCATCCAGCTATAGGTAAATAGCAGAACAGACTTGGGTGGCAACTGGTCTATATAAGAAAGGGTAACCTACTACGGGAAAAAAAATCTGCCTCGTCAGTCATGTATCGAAAGATACATGATCGCTTAAGCGTGTATCACGCAGGGCACATAACTGACGCAAATAATGAAGAGATGAACATGAGGGAAGGAAAGATTATTCATTCAAAAATAAGAAAAAAAAAAAAAAAATGAAGAAAGCTACGTAAAAATTAAAAAGAAAGATCTTGAAAAAAAAAAATAATACGAAGAGCGGACCCTGTATATATAAGGAGAGGTAAAGAAATAAGGAGATAGTATAAATTTAACGGCTTAAAATAATAGTAAAGGAAAGAAAGGTTGAGGCATTGAGAATGAATGGCGTTTAGAAAAGGAAATCATAAAACTGAAGAGAGATGGACAAGAAGTGGATAGAAGGAACAGTGTATCCAAATAAAATAAGGCTCCAAAAGAACGTAGCACTTCAATTCGATCGAAGAGGAAGTAAATCTTTGATTACCGCAGGCAAAAATAAAACCTTTGCTATAAACGAGAAGAAAAGATTGAAAAAGAAATGGATGGAATGAAGTGGAAAAAAAAAATGAGCAAACGAACAAAAAATATTAAAGAAACTGGGTGGGGGGCGTAAGACAGAAATTAGAAATGGGAGATCGAAAGGTCATCACGTGTTTCAGGAATCCTTTAAAAACCTATTGTCTTTTACAAATCTTGTAATTCTCAGCATGGATTCCTAATTAGTTTGTTGTCGATTCTTCCTTCTTTTTTTTCTTTTTTTCCTTTTTTCTTGTTCAATAATATTCTCTTTTTTGTTGTTGTTGTTGTTGTTGTTGTGAAACTTTATCAGTCTTTCGAATTCCTCAGTTGCTATTTTTAAAACATTCGTTGCAACGCGAACGTCTTTTTTTCATATTTGCTTGTCAACTGACTACTGTCACTTCTAGATTTCCGCGATAGGGCTTCTTCAACGGGACTTTTTGCTTCTAATACCAAATGCCAAGAAGTCATTTGGCAGTGAAGCTGTCAGTGCGTTACTGCTTTCTTTTATAAATAAATCAATAAACTTTGATGTGGGAGATTGATAATGCACTTGGCCTCATGTTTGAGCCTGGTTTTGACTTGAGATAAAAGTAAGACTCTGTCAAAGCTATACTCCATATTAGAAAAGCTCAAACGAGAAAGTGAAAAGTCAATTAAAAAACCTTTTCGTTAAATGGCCAGCTAAATTTTATTTTAATTATTTTAACAGTGCAGAGAAAACGGGGAAAGCCTTGAGGAAAACGAATTGCTAAGTTTAAGCGAATAGTTAACAGGACATGAATCGCAAAGTAAAAGACAGGACTGTAAAGGCGAAAGAATTACTTACGACTGGAAATTGTGGAGAGCTATGATCAGCTATGTTTTAAAGGGATATTACGCCATTGTACGCGCAAATACACACACATATATATATAAAAATATATATATAAAACTATATTTTTAACATATATCTATATAGATATATTGCTTAAAATTTGCAGTATATAGGGACTCTCTCTCTCTCTCTCTCTCTATATATATATATATATATATATATATATATATATATATACATACTGACTCTCCTGTCGAATTGACGTATGAGGGTCACAGATCAGCCTGACAACAGCACATGAGATTTTATTATAGTGGTGAAGGTTTCGTGTAGGACCATCCACACATTATATATATATATATATATATATATATATATATATATATATATATATATATATATATATCAGCGTAGACATAGAAATCAAGGCTGCATGGTAACTGTCAGTTCCACGTTTCAATGCGATCTTCATATACTAAGTCACACACTTTTTTCTCGAAGAGTAAATATATATATATATATATATATATATATATATATATATATATATATATATATATATATATATGTTTTCATTAAAACGACAGACAAGGTACTACGGTTGAGCTTTTATTTAATTTTTCTTGTGTTCTGACAAGAGCTTTTTCTGGACAAAGAGTGTGTAAGAACTGTCCGAATGTTCTGTGTTTGAGCGCTTTCGGCTATACCTTTTTAGCCATTATCAAGGATGATTCGATTATCAGCTTAGTAAAGTGTGTGTGTTCTGTATGTTCAGTGTGTGGTAGTGATGTTTTTAGTTTCCGAATACGGTTAGCACATTGTGGCTTTGCTTTTTGAAAACAAAGAACATTCGGACAGTTCTACACATTCTTTGTCCAGAAAAGAAAGCCTTGTCAGAACACAAGAAAAATTAAATAAAAAGCTCAACCGTAGTACCTTGTCTGTCGTTTTTAATGAAACATGCATAAAGGAAGGATTGCTGCCTAAATATACAAATACATATATATATATATATATATATATATATATATATATATGTATGTATGTATGTAACGTTCAAAATTAGGAGATCAGTTGAGCCTGCTACGTTGGTTTCAACCTTACGGTATCCTGATACTGTAAGGTTGAAACCAAGGTAGCGAATTCAAATGCTCCTAATTTAGTTTAAATCTCTACGTATAATTTTTTAGTTTTATTTTATTATGCTTTATCCCTTATGTATTGAGCACTTTTAATCCTACTGCTTCCTTTCAACTCTGACAATTAACCGTGTATATACATATATGTATATATGAAGAAAAATTTGGAAAAAACAAACAAAAATCCTTAAATGCAATTATGTTGTTTAAAATGAATGAAATGTCGACGTCTGACGTTTCGGTTTAATAAACCTTTTTCAAGACAATATTCATTAAAATACAATTCAGTTCAATTTGACAAAGACGATGGACATAAACAACAAGTCTTATCCAAAACAGATAACTGAAAATTTTTAAAATGCTTTCCGTTTATGTTTATGTTTCTTCATTTTAAACAACATAATTGCATTTAAGGATTTTTGTTTGTTTTTTTCCAAATTTTTCTTCATTCTGTCGGATCTATAACCATTTAAAGGATTTGCATATATATATATATATATATATATATATATATATATATATATATATATATATATGAGTTGAAGATCAAATGTAGATCATACATATATATATATATATATATATATATATATATAGTATTAATGTGAGTAAAATTTTGTCACTTAGCTGATTGATGTTACTGTAACTGATATATATATATATATATATATATATATATATATATATATATATAGCGGGCTTTTGTATTAAGGTTCACGTATTTGAACCTGGTACGTTGATTTCCTTACAGCGATGATAGCCGTCCTGCGATCCGCATATCCACTATCTGTTACTGACACTACCATTATTGTTAATCATTTTGTAGGTGTAATCCGATAACCCTGACTCCAGTCGAGTACATAGCATTCACTTACGTGCTAATATCCTTGGAAAAAGCATCAATCCACCTCTTCCCACCCCCCAGCTATGGAGAAATAGTAGGACAGATTGAGTCCTATAGCCTTGGTTGGCAACCAGTCTAGGAGAAGGAAAGCTGAATTCAAGCCAGTCTAGAGAGGGTTGGCCTTCTTCAGGTTGTCTTGTCCATGAAACACCACTGCTGCTATGGTTACAGTAAATGTGGTGACCCTACGTCCCTAAGGCTTTACGGGAGCCATGATGGTGATAATACTCTGTAATTTTGGCTAGGACCACAGCTTCGATCTACTCGTGTCAATCATACTGCAGAAGCAATCATTCGAAGGATAGACAGATCCCCATATTTAGTGCGGACATCTGTCTAAGTAAGAGAAATAGCAACATTAAACCAACCACCATGGGATGTTACTGCCATTGTCCCACCTCGCACGACCACGGCACATAAATCCTGTGTTAAATCATTAACGCGTAAACTAATCAAGTCTCTGGCACAAGCCCTGGTATCTGCACTTGTGAAGATATGCGAGGGTCTATAATAATAGAAATATCTCATAAACCTCCATTAGTGAATCCAGGACATGATATATGCTCATACAGAAACTATGATCTTGAACTGCAATGAAAGCAGTAATGGCGACTACCTGATTTTGGTCAATAGGTGATGTGTAGCTATTTATTCAGTTTCTTATTAGATTTTCTATTAGAATTTTTAATTATTTAATTTAATTCAATGGAAAAGTTGAATAGTGCTTTTTAAATTATTTCTAGCGGCTACATACGACTTAAACACTCTCTTCCGAGCTCTGAGTCTACTAAATGTCGAGATTTGATTGAAAAACTATATAGGTCGTACATGTTTGCCGAAGGTCCCAATACCGACATATTTCAAACCTTGTCAGGAGTGCGACAGGCAGGAAATGAGAGTCCTTGATTATATAATCTCTTCCTAGATTATGCCCTGCGTATATACAAGTACAAGGGCCTCAGACTCATATTCGACCTCAAGTGGAACTTTTATATACGATCCATCGCTAAGGGTGCAGCTAAAATGATCGGTAGAGCTACATTAAGTACCTGACTCCTCATGCTCTCCTCTACCGTTATGAGAGACAGATCAGGCCCAAAATAGCGCAAGGTTGACATATTTGGTCGGGAGCTGCCTTGTCCCCATTTTCCAGTCTTGATAGAGTTCAAAAACGCTTCCGAATCTTTGGAGAAGAATTATTTTCCAAAACTCTCTCTCTCTCTCTCGTTCTCTTTCTCTCTCTCTCTCTCTCTCTCTCTCTCTCTCAATCTCTCTCTCAATCTATCTATCTATCTATCTCTCTCTCTCTCTCTCTCGCTCTCTTTCTCTCTCTCTCTCTCTCTCTCTCAATCTCATCTATCTATCTATCTATCTATCTCTTTTCTCTCTCTCTCTCGCTCTCTCTCTCGCTCTCTTTCTCTCTCTCTCTCTCAATCTCTCTATCTATCTATCTATCTATCTCTCTTTCTTTCTCTCTCTCGCTCTCTCTCTCTCGCTCTCTTTCTCTCTCGCTCTCTCTCTCTCTCGCTCTCTTTCTCTCTCTCTCGCTCTCTCTCTCTCTCTCTCTCAATCTCTCTATCTATCTATCTATCTATCTCTCACACACACACACAGGCGCGATGTGGCGAGTCTCTCACTATTCTATCGCTACTACTATGCAATGTGCTCGAACAAACTACATCTCTTGCTTCCGCCAGGTCTATCCTCCAGGGCTAGGATCCGCCATGCCACTTACATTGTATCAAACCACCCACATTACCCTCGTATTCCAACAACGAGAAGTAATTTCCACAGCTTCTTCCCGCGAACCACTGACCTGTGGAACAGACTCCCAAGAAGATGCTTCCTCGATCAATACAGTCTTAACCTGTTCAAGTTAGATTTAACCGTTGTCTTCTACTCCTATCCATATAAACTAGCCCTTAAATCGCACTCTACCTTGGGTGGACCCCGGGCCTTGTACAGAGTGAATCTTACTGTAAAAAAAAAAAAAGTGCGATGCATTCCATACCACATCTCGAACGGATTTGCTAATAGAAAAGAGCGTTCTTTTTTTCTAAACCGTCAAGACCAGTGTACTGATGGTAAGTGGGGGGGGGCTATGCTGATGACCTAGGCATTTATAGTTGGTATGAGAATAAAAGCGAACAAAAGAAACTCATCATTCTTTCCAAAGAGTTCCAACAAATAGGTCTCAAGATAAACCTTTCCAAAGCAAAAACAATGATCTGGAGTTAGAATGAAAGCAGTGATGGCACTTACTCTGTATCCATCTTAAAATTCAAGATTCAAAATTAGTAAATACTAAAGCCTTCTAATACTTCTGTCTTAAATTTAGTATAAGAGACAAGAAAATTGATCTGTGCGAAGGATTATTTCGCTCATGACAGCATGATCCTACCAAACCAAAACATTAAACTAAGACCAAATCATCGTCCTGGTTATGACATCCAGCAACAAGGCCTCTGGTCGTAAGGTTTTGAGGAGCTTGGAATCACCTTTTAATTGCTGTTGTTCCCAGGTTCACCCTGACCTGGGATGGTAGCACCTGTTAGGGTCCCAGCTATGGACAAATACTGAACCCCCGAACTGGAGTTAAAACATTATGAAAATATAAAAATACGTTTTCATAATAAAAGAAATTATCAAAGATAAACATTTTCATACAAAAAAAAAATAGCAGCAATACATTTTTAAATAAAAAAAATAAATTACCAAAGCTCCTAAGAAAATTAAAATTAGGCATTAAATGACCCATAAGGAGTTGATGCCGTTAAACAAACCGAACTGAAATCATGTGTTTAATTTAATGACCTTGTCAAATCGGGAAATTCATACGAAAGTCATGCACGGTGTAAAACTCTGTTCAGAAATAAATATATATATATATATATATATATATATATATATATATATATATATATATATATATTGGTGTATTTGTAATTAGTTATGTGTAAAATCTTTGATGCATTTGTTTAATAAGTCCTTCTTCTAATTACAAGCAGATCAAGTATACATAATAATTCATAATAATACCCTGATAAATATCTCCTGTCAATGTCATGAAGGCGATGACATTGACAGCATTCTCTTAGGAACAAAGTAATTACAAAGATGGCGAATAATTCAGTTTAAATGAACTTTTATCTTCATTATCGAGAATTCCATTCCACATTTGCTCATGATTATTTTTAAGAAAATATATGCCGTTTTGCATTTGGTGTTGTTCTTTTCTGTTTGTTTTTTAAGGAGGTGGGGTGATTTTAGGGAAGGAGGTATATATATATATGAGGAATCAGAGAGCCGTGTTCGAATCCATTGCATTCACTTACGTGCTAATACCCTTGGCAAAGGTATGAATCCTTTTCTTCTCCCTCCAGCTAAGGGTAAATAGCAGGACAGACTGGGTTCTGTAGCCTTGGATGGCAACTCTTTATAAGAAAATATATGCCGTTTTGCATTTGGTGTTGTTCTTTTTTGTTTGTTTTTGAAGGAGGTGGGGTGATTTTAGGGAAGGAGGTATATATATATGAGGAATCAGAGAGCTGTGTTCGAATCCATTGCATTCACTTACGTGCTAATACTTTTGGCAAAGGTATGAATCCTTTTCTCCCTCCAGCTAAGGGTAAATAGCAGGACAGACTGGGTTCTGTAGCCTTGATGGCAAACTTTATAAGAAAATATATGCCGTTTTGCATTTGGTGTTGTTCTTTTTGTTTGTTTTTTTGAAGGAGGTGGGTGATTTTAGGGAAGGAGGTATATATATATATGAGGAATCAGAGAGCTGTGTTCGAATCCATTGCATTCACTTACGTGCTAATACCCCTTGGCAAAGGTATGAATCCTTTTTGCATTCCCCCTCCAGCTAAGGGGTAAATAGCAGGACAGACTGGGGTTCTGTAGCCTGATGGCAAATCTTTTATAAGAAAAATATATGCCGTTTTGCATTTGGTGTTGTTCTTTTTTGTTTGTTTTTTGAAGGAGGTGGGGTGATTTTAGGAAGGAGGTATATATATATATGAGGAATCAGAGAGCCGTGTTCGAATCCATTGTATTCACTTTCTTACGTGCTAATACTTTGGCAAAAGGTATGAATCCTTTTCTCCCTCCAGCTAAGGGTAAAAATAGCAGGACAGACTGGGTTCTGTAGCCTTGATGGCAACTCTTTTTATAAGAAAATATATGCTGTTTTGCATTTGGTGTTGTTCTTTTTGTTGTTTGTTTTTTGAAGGAGGTGGGGTGATTTTAGGAAGGAGGTATATATATATATGAGGAATCAGAGAGCTGTGTTCGAATCCATTGCATTCACTTTACGTGCTAATACCCCTTGGCAAAGGTATGAATCCTTTTTCTTCTCCCTCCAGCTAAGGGTAAATAGCAGGACAGACTGGGTTCTGTAGCCTTGATGGCAACTTTTATAAGAAAAATATATGCCGTTTTGCATTTGTTTTGTTCTTTTTTGTTTGTTTTGAAGGAGGTGGGTGATTTTAGGGAAGGAGGTATATATATATATGAGGAATCAGAGAGCCGTGTTCGAATCCATTGCATTCACTTACGTGCTAATACCCTTGGCAAAGGTATGAATCCTTTTCTTCTCCCTCCAGCTAAGGGTAAATAGCAGGACAGACTGGGTTCTGTAGCCTTGGATGGCAACTCTTTATAAGAAAATATATGCCGTTTTGCATTTGGTGTTGTTCTTTTTTGTTTGTTTTTGAAGGAGGTGGGGTGATTTTAGGGAAGGAGGTATATATATATATGAGGAATCAGAGAGCCGTGTTCGAATCCATTGCATTCACTTACGTGCTAATACCCTTGGCAAAGGTATGAATCCTTTTCTTCTCCCTCCAGCTAAGGGTAAATAGCAGGACAGACTGGGTTCTGTAGCCTTGGATGGCAACTCTTTATAAGAAAATATATGCCGTTTTGCATTTGGTGTTGTTCTTTTTTGTTTGTTTTTGAAGGAGGTGGGGTGATTTTAGGGAAGGAGGTATATATATATGAGGAATCAGAGAGCCGTGTTCGAATCCATTGCATTCACTTACGTGCTAGTACCCTTGGCAAAGGTATGAATCCTTTTCTTCCCTCCAGCTAAGGGTAAATAGCAGGACAGACTGGGTTCTGTAGCCCTTGATGGCAACTCTTTATAAGAAAATATATGCTGTTTTGCATTTGGTGTTGTTTTTTTTTTTTTTGAAGGAGGTGGGGTGATTTTAGGAAGGAGGTATATATATGAGGAATCAGAGAGCCGTGTTCGAATCCACATTCACTTACGTGCTAATACCCTTTGGCAAAGGTATGAATCCTTTTCTCCCTCCAGCTAAGGGGTAAATAGCAGGACAGACTGGGTTCTGTAGCCTTGATGGCAACTCTTTATAAGAAAATATATGCCGTTTTGCATTTTGTTGTTTTTTTTTTTTTTTTTGAAGGAGGTGGGGGTGATTTTAGGAAGGAGGTATATATATATGAGGAATCAGAGAGCCGTGTTCGAATCCATTGCATTCACTTACGTGCTAATACCCTTGGCAAAGGTATGAATCCTTTTCTTCTCCCCCTCCAGCTAAGGGTAAATAGCAGGACAGACTGGGTTCTGTAGCCTTGATGGCAAACTCTTTATAAGAAAATATATGCTGTTTTGCATTTGGTGTTGTTCTTTTTGTTTGTTTTTGAAGGAGGTGGGGTGATTTTAGGAAGGAGGTATATATATATATATGAGGAATCAGAGAGCCGTGTTCGAATCCATTGTATCTACTACTTACGTGCTAATACCCTTGGCAAAGGTATGAATCTTTTTTCCCCTCCAGCTAAGGGTAAATAGCAGACAGACTGGGTTCTGTAGCCTTGGATGGCAACCCTTTATAAGAAAATATATGCCGTTTTGCATTTGGTGTTGTTCTTTTTTGTTTGTTTTTGAAGGAGGTGGGGTTTTTAGGAAGGAGGTATATATATATGAGGAATCAGAGAGCGTGTTCGAATCCATTGTATCTCACTTTACGTGCTAATACCCCTTGGCAAAGGTATGAATCCTTTTTTTCCCCTCCAGCTAAGGGTAAATAGCAGGACAGACTGGGTTCTGTAGCCTTGGATGGCAACTTTATAAGAAAATATATGCTGTTTTGCATTTGGTGTTGTTCTTTTTTTGTTTGTTTTGAAGGAGGTGGGGTGATTTTAGGGAAGGAGGTATATATATATAAGAGGAATCAGAGAGCCGTGTTCGAATCCATTGCATTCACTTACGTGCTAATACCCTTGGCAAAGGTATGAATCCTTTTCTTCCCTCCAGCTATGGGTAAATAGCAGGACAGACTGGGTTCTGTAGCCTTGATGGCAACTCTTTATAAGAAAATATATGCCGTTTTGCATTTGGTGTTGTTCTTTTTGTTTGTTTTTAAGGAGGTAAGATTTTAGGGAAGGAGGTATATATATATGAGGAATCAGAGAGCTGTGTTCGAATCCATTGCATTCACTTACGTGCTAATACCTTTTGCAAAGGTATGAATCCTTTTCTTCCCTCCAGCTAAGGGTAAATAGCAGGACAGACTGGGTTCTGTAGCCTTGGATGGCAACTCTTTATAAGAAAATATATGCTGTTTTGCATTTGGTGTTGTTCTTTTTTTGTTTGTTTTTGAAGGAGGTGGGGTGATTTTAGGAAGGAGGTATATATATATATGAGGAATCAGAGAGCCGTGTTCGAATCCATTGTATCACTTTACGTG